AGTCCCCTGTCCTTTTTGACTGGTGCCAAGCGAGTTGTGGGTTCGAACTGCAGTCCCGCTCTCCTCCCTCGCGGTACCGCTTCCCAGACAGACACAAATCCCCTGCTTGAATTGAGTTGGTGGGTCTCCACCTCTTTCCAAGCCAAATTCAATGGGGGGGGGTGCGGTGGTGTCGGTGGGGGTGTTTCCAGATTGTCTGAAGGATAACAGTCTCTGGTACGAGCCGGTCTGCCTGCACCAGAGAGCAACAGAGCCCTTTCAGGCAAGAAACTTTGCTATATTCCTAGTTGCGTCCAGATTACGTGTTTCTCCAAACCTCCTTTCAGTTCCCTGCTACTTCTTTAATTGATCAGGTCTGTTACTTTTTGGAGGAAGTGAAGGACTGTTCATCCTGTTCTGAAGTGAAGGACTGTTCATTCATTCATGATTTGTCAATCTGTAGTTACAGCAACACAGACTGAGCAGATCCATAAATCTCTGGGTCTTTCCCCCACGAAAGGCACGAATGAGCCTTGGGGACCGTTTTCTTCCTGCGTCCATTTCACTCCCAACCCGTAGCAGAGGTAGCCTAAAGTTCTCCCTAGCTGTTCCCATACAGTCAACAGGCTATGGGTACAATCTGACCTGCTTTCCAGACCAAGTGCTCAGTGCCACAGTTAGGGGACTCCAAAGGGTGAGCTCAGCCCAGGATGAGAATGACTTTGGTGTGAGAACGTCCCCTCTGGGCACTGTCCTCTAGGGTCCTTCGGCTTTGGGTAGTGGGGACGTCTGGTTGTTTTTGGAGACCAGCAGGGACAGGACAGGGCTGATGTACTGTGAACCATGACGGTAAGAGCTCCTTCATGGGGCAACCCATCTCAGTCAGCCGACAGATTCCTTTTATGATGGGTGCATTCCTCTTCTGGAATAGTGTGACACCCATCTTCAAAAGGAGTCTGATTATCAGCATGTGGGAAAGACCTTGGGAGACGGGGCCAAGAGATGTTGCCTAGGGAATGCTTAGATAAGAGAGGGCACAGCCCACAGCTGCATAATGGGTAGAGAAAGAGGCTCAGAAGAGACCCTTCCTAGTTTCTCTGGCTGTAAAGGAGACATGGGGACAATTGTACTTCCAGACTTGTAAGGTTCCGTTAATGTAGCCTTACAATAAAGTAGAATTAGCTTATCTGGTCATGTTTACTGTCTGATATACCTGGTAAGGGTGACTTCAGTCTTGCAAGTCTGAAAGTACAATTTTCCCCCGTCTCCTTTATACAGCCCAAGAAACT